GTCAGAGTCGTGCACTTAGGGAACTAGTTGTTTGTCCATCATGGTTTGCATTAAACATAGTTTAAAGGATACTGTAAACATTTCATTTGGGATCATAGAGGAACTGCTATGGTTTTGCATTCCCCAAATACGAATGCATAGTTCTGTGTGACCTTCATTTTTACTAGGTGAGTTTAGACTTTGTGACCACGTGACTTCTACATGGAACATATGTGGTTATATTTTTTTTGTCTCTATCATCTCTTCTTTATCCTACAAGTTCATTAGTTATGTAGGTGACTGTGTCAGAGCTCAGATTGTGTTTTTCTTGCTCCATCTTTAAAAACTGTATTTTTCAATAGTTGTACGGAAAATAAGATCTTCAGAGGGATCACCACCACCTTGGAGAATTTTCCCCACTAATTTTTCTCCCCAATTTTTTAGTGTACATCTCTTTGCTGTAAACAATGTCAAGAAACAGAAATAACAACCAAAAATGAAATATTCAGGTGAGTGCTTTATTACATTTTTAGTATACGTCTAAATAACTACATTTTCCTAACTAACTGCCTCAACAGAATTTGACAGTCGAGACCGTATTTCCATTCTCCACACGTTTTCCTCCACTACATTACAGTCGGCACCTGAGCTCAGTGCTGGGTGAGACGGTCCTCCTGAGGGGCGCCCAGACTGACAGCGGCTGGGTCCGGGGCGACTCACCCCATAACAAGCCCTGTAAACTGCAACAGCTGGGCCCACCTCCTTGGTGACGGTCTGTCCATTCCTAGGGACCCAGACTGAGTGCCTCAGACATAGTTCAATCAAATATCAGCATTGCCACATAGGACCAAAGATAATACAGGACGTGCTTCTGATGCTGTGTGATAAAACGGTGTCTGAAAGTATTTAGAGTCATTATAAATCAGGAAGGCAAGGGAACTGCTGTTCGCAGCAGTAGTCGGCTCATGGTGCCGGTCCCTGCCGTTCCACTCAGACTCTGTGTATCTTACAGTGTATCTTGAGGAAGGTTTGAAAAACTAGTACTCGTTTCCTTAAAGATTGGGCTGACTGCCAGCGACCGCCTAACCCATTAAAAACTGCAGCTCTTCCAACCTCGGTTAAATAGCTGGCTTTTTACTTTCCCTTTCCACCCTGACTTACGCTCTGTGCTGTCTCTGTTTCAGTTTGTCCCTGTGTGGGCCCATGGCAGCTTACGTGAACCCTCACGGATACGTGCACGAGACGCTGACCGTGTACAAGGCCTGCAACTTGAATCTGATCGGCCGGCCTTCAACGGATCACAGCTGGTTTCCTGGGTAACGTGCTGCTCGCTTTACTGTTCTGGTTTTGCCTTAACTGGGCAGAAAACCTCCAAGTCCTAGGCAGAGGTGCTAGAATTACACTCAGCAGTTGACAGTGAAGTGCATTTAAAGGTCCTTCAGTCTGCAAGTGGCTAGGAGCGGCTGTTTCCGCACGGACTCGCTGAGGCAGCGTCAGGGAGAAGGGAGGGGGCTCCTGCTCTTCTCCTCACCGTCTAAGTGTCCACTCAGCCTGTACTCGCTGCATTTCCCCGTCAGCTCAGTCTGAAAATTATGACTCACGAGAACGACAGCTGACGGCTGATCAGCAGATATGTGTCGGTGGTGAGACAGGCCGCGCGGCTGGGTCCTCAGACACGGGGGAGCCGCAGTCCGGGGCTCACTGCGCCGAAGTTACAGGCGGACGTGTCCCTCCCGGGGCCGCCGTGTCTCCGGGCCGTATTTTGAGGCTCTGAGCCACACACACAGCTGTGTGAAACTAGAGAATGTTACCCAAACAGCGACAGACACCACTAAACAGAGAAACCATCAAATCCTGCCTGCTTTTCTGCTAGTTTCCGTGTTTTGCTTTTCAGTCCACGGCCTGCACGGTACGACCGTGGGCCAGCAGCTCCACCTGAGGCCTCACTAGATTCTTACCTTCAAGAACCCCATTACTGGTCCACATTCTGGGTCAGCCTTTTCATTTTGAAAGAGGCAAGCTGAGTAGGGATAGTGATTATACTTGCTCCTCTGGACCTTAGAACCACGGTCCAGTCTTATCTGATACCCCACTTAAGAACTAAAACCAGAAGTAACAATATAAATACTAAATGTGAGCTATACTTAGGATAAAGGTAAGTGGTCGCAGTTACATGGCTTGGGTTTTCGGTGTTTTCTCTAATGCCATTGCTTATATTCCTGGTTAAATATTTGACAAAATCAATTTGAATTTTATATGAGAAATATACTTATCACACCCCATCCCCAATTCTAACTCACACACAAGTGTATTTCTATGGCCAGTTGCTGTTTCTAACTTGACTGCCATATAGAACAGCAAAGGAAATGCAGGTACAAGTTAGAATGTCGTCTTGACAGCCAGCGATTTGTATATAGACATTCTTGTGAAGATTCTTTTTTCTTTCTTGGCATTGGAGAAAATATTTGAGCATGGCTTAGGAGCACAACCAAGTACCTTTTGTAGACAGAGACTGATGCATCACCATGATCCATACAAATTAGAAAATCTTTTCATGAGGTTTGTCTCAGGGGACTGTATGAGTGAAAGCTCAGAGTGTTTCTTCTCCTCCATCCTCAGATTTTGGTTCTAAGATCGGCCTTTCTCACAGGTTTATATGATGAGGGGCTGAGATAAGGACATGAGTTTCCGTAGCTGATACCTTTCCTTAATTTTGTAGGTACGCCTGGACTATTGCCCAGTGCAGGGTCTGTGCGAGCCATATCGGATGGAAATTTACAGCCACCAAAAAAGACATGTCACCTCAAAAATTCTGGGGTTTGACTCGATCTGCTTTGTTGCCCACGATTCCAGACACCGAAGATGACATAAGCCCAGACAAAGTAATACTCTGCTTGTAAACAGACGCAGTAAGGCTACAGCTCTTTAACACCTCGGTGTTCTAACGTCAGGTCTGCTACTGCTTTTGATGCACACCTAAGTAAAAAGCAGCGTTATAGGGGAGGTTGAGTTTGTTAGTCAGACAGTATTTGAAGATTTAAACTAAACATACTATTGAAAAGGATGAAAAGCAGTCGCAAACGCTCGGTTTTCAGGACTAGCTGCTTTAGTAGCTTGGTGCCACTATCCTGAGGACTGTGGTGTCTGGCAGCACGTCACTGTAGGACAGGAGGACATCTCTGAAACTCAGGAGCATGTTTCCTACACAAACCCGTATCTGACATGCCTGTTATTACCCATAACGTGCGCTTCATCATTTGAGCCTAATACGTGGGAAGGGGCGGCGTGCCTGCACCACCCGGCAGGCGCCCCGCGGCGAGGGTGCCCAGCACAAGCACCTGTTCCCTCCCGACAGAGGCAAGGCGCTGTACATTATTTTAAAAGGGCTTTGTTCCTTCTGATTTCCCTTAGTTTCTCTCAGATACTGATTTGTAAATTTTGAAAATAATATTAAAAAGAGTTAAGATGTGCAGTTTGAGCCCCCAAATAAAGTTTCCATTTCCTAACATGTTTGCTAGTGAAAAATAGTATTTTGTGTATTTGCTTAGTGTTTGGTTATTCTGTTCCAAAGTTTAATTTGAATCTAAACCACTATAGAGTACAAATGCTAAAAAACCCGTCCCCTTCATAGACAATGTATTTGTTCAATGTAAATTTAAGAAAATCTGTAAGTAAACTTTAAGAGCAAAACTAAATTAAATATGTTCTTTGTTTAAGTAGTATAACATAGCTACTCATAAGCAGGTAACTTGGGTGTAAGAAATAAGTTTGAAGGTCAAGTTCTAGACCGATTTGCCACCTACCTCTTGGCTTATACACTGAAGGGGTTATTGGATCCTTTCCTCTGTGTGTACACCTTCACTGCTTTGCATAATTCATTGGGAAAAGTTCAGCTAATCAGGTAACATGTCTGCAGCCAAAAACAAACTGTTAATGTGTTAATTTACCAACCAATATTTTGTTTTTTTCAAACCTGCCATGGTTTGACTGCCTAGAGTGAAAACCGCAGTTGCCTGTCATTTTACATGTTTGTGGGAAGAGAAACAAAAAGCAGCTCAAGAGCGCTGCTGCGGGCTCTTCAGCAGCTGCCGGACTCTGTGTGCCTGGAAGGGCCGCTCCCCCCCCCCGCCCCCGCCCTCTACTACTGCTAGGACCCTCAGTTTTATGACTTGACCCTTTACTCCCGTGGTCTTACACTGAACGCATACGTCCCGAGGGGCGCCGCGGTGAGGGAGCCCTGCTCTTCCGCCCGAAAGGTGGACTCTCTGGATGTTCTACATTGTTCACCAACACTTGCAAACAAAATTGCTGGTATATTAAAAACATGCACATAAATACTATGTTAAAATGGTTTATACATGACAACACCGGGCCTCCGAAATAGCAAAACCTGTATACTTCGCCTATGGAAGCACGCACCCACGTCAGTGCATTACTACTCTCTGCCACAGCTCATCACTGACCTGTGTCACTGACCTGTGTGCGGGCGCTTCAGAGGCTCCCTCTCCTGCACCACAGCCCGTTATACTGAGAGTTTGCCACACTTCCTCTTAGCTGGGCTTTAACAGAAATAATGCTTTCCAAAACTGGTTTAGCAAGGTCTAGAACTGCTCTTTGCCCGCAGAGCATACAGATGCTATGACTGGCAACAGAGAGAGGAAGATCAGTTATCAGATGTCAGCATACAGCACCTGAAATGGCGCCCTGTGCCGTGCAACTTTTTACTTTACTTTGAAGGGACAGGAGCACCATGTATCCACGGCACCTGACACGTACTATCGGACACCACACTTATCCTCCAAAGGAAGTGTTTAGTGACGTAACAGGCTCAAGAGTCACCTGCAAGCTCACCATTCCCAGGCTTAGCGGGCAGGTAAGGAAATCGCTGTGACAGGAAAGTACTGACTGCAGACTGGAACACAGCTTGCCAGAGCCGGTGCTGGGTGCAGGAGTGAAAGCCACCTGGGGCACAGCTGGTCCTCACAGTTTACATTGGATATTTGATGCAAATTTGTCAACTATTTTCAAGCACAAGTTTATTCTGCAGTTTACATAAAACCTGACACTTAGACAGTTACTGTATAAAATTAACTCGGTTACTTCCATTGCAAATAATAAAACTTTTTTTCTTCAAGACAGTTACTGCTTTTTAAGATCACTCTTAGTTCTGCCCTATGCAAAAACAGACAAAAACCACTTTTTTAAAAAGGCCTTGACAGACTAAGATAGGCGAATCCAACTCCACTCTTCTCAGTAGGAACTATTCCAAAAGAAATACAAGGGTCAGTGATACAAGTCAATTTAAGAGGAGGTAGACTTCAGTTTAGTGCCTGAAATATAATTATATTTTACAAAATATGCTAAACTGGCTTTTATTCTGCTATATATTCAAGTCTTTAAAAGGAAGGGGTGGGGGGACCTAGTCTTACCAAACATTGTCTTGCTTTTCAGTAGCCAGCTCTCACCAGTTTTTAGGTCTTCTTTATGTAACTCAGAAGTTCATCTTTTTCCATTTGGTAACCACTTTTCTTCCACTGTTCTCGCAACTGTTGTAAGAGGACCCCAATTTCTTTGCCAGAAGAAATGCCCACTTTTCTGATGTCATGGCCACTTACAGGAAAGGGAGGGATGGACCACCGCTGCATCTCCTTCAGAAGACAGTGCTCTCCCTGGTACTTGAGCAGTTCACAGACGCGAGCAGTTGCATCAGGCTCTCTAGACTAAAGGCCAAAGTCACACACAGTTTCATCAGACATTACCACACTTGCTAATGGTCTTACCCTGAAATTTAAATAAATGCTCACTGTGACATTTTTTCATTTAAAGCAAGTGACACCCACACATTGCACTGTGGGTCTCAGTACTAATGTATTCGTTCTACAGTTACGGAAGATGACTTACATTCTGACCAAGCCTAGAATGTACTTACATCTATAATGAAGTCTTGATAGGGTTTCAGTGGCTCTGAACTATCTGTTGCTTTAATTAAATCTTTCCTGTTTTTAACTATAAATAAACCAAGATTCTTCTCTTCTTTTGAAATCTTCAACCTCAGATCCAATTTTGTGACATCATCCTGTACTTTGAATAATGAGGTCAAAAGAGTCATTGGCTTTGGTGAAAAACCTTCAACATTCTTACTCACTTTGTTAAATTCTTCTAAACTTGCATTAGGAGGTAAGCCTGTAGGGACAAAAGCATTTTTACCCATTTTCAGAGTGGAGAAATTTAATAAAAAACACTCTGGTCCTAGGCCAAACATTGTTTTCATAAACAGCAATGCCCCTGTCCCTAGGACTCCTTCCTGGTCAAGTCTGATGCGGCATCTGCCAGGTGAACCACTGGTACCCCGCCGCTGTCCTCCCCTGCACCCCCCCCCGAGTCCCAGTGTCCCTTCTGAATACCCATTATAACACGTACTGAACTATTTCCACGCGTGAGTCAATCTTCTAAGTGCTTTTACATGTACTAACTCACTGACCCTCTCAGCCCTTCCACTGGACAGATGCAATTATTTTCATACCCTTTTTTAGATTCAGAAACTGACAGGTAAGGACATAACCCAAGTCACAAAGCTGGTAAGAACCAAAGCCTCCTTCCAACCCAGGAGGGGCTGGCTCCAGAGGCCACTTGGTACCACCACAATGTGCTATCTCTGGGCCTTCCCCTACCTGTGAAAGCACTGTCCTACCACTGACTTCAGAGTGTACCATATTTTAAAATACTCCACTTTTCCTTTTAGAGTTGTTTAACTAAATATTTCTTTCCTTACAAAGTTTTAAATCAGATGTGTCACTGCCAAAAAATACACTAAATTGGACTCACCTATGTAAGGCGCCACGTCAAGATCATAGATGAGGTGCATCAAATGATTCACATGTTTACCAGTGAGGATTTTTTTCAGTTCCACCCAAATCCTCTCTCCTGATATTCCAGACAAGCCTTTCGCATTTTCTGCAATTGCTTCCAAAGTCTCAGAATCATGGTCACCAGGTTTGTCTACAATTTTCCCGTAAAATCTACAAAACAAAATTCTCACAGTGCACTACCTCCATGCTGGCGTTTCATCAGACAAACCTGCTTTTCATTTTATTGGTTCTGTCGTACACTTGTATTTCATCAGGAAGAGAGACGCGGTGAGGTCTGGGGGGGACC